TCCCATCCCATCCCATCCCATCCCATCCCATCCCATCCCATCCCATCCCATCCCATCCCATCCCATCCCCACCCTGGGTTTTGAGGAGGAGCTGTGGCTCTCCAGGGAGCGCAGTGATTTGGGTTGATTTCTTGGGGATTTGTGCAGGATGGGAGCAGCCCTGGGACTGGCACCAAGTCCAGCTGGACGCGTGCCCAGTGGGTTCATTGTCCACTCCTGAGGGCAGAGCTGGTTTGCTGRTGTCCACCTGGTTAATGGATGACCCGCTCAGGGGCACGGCCACGCTCACATTCCAGGACACCCTTTGTGCTCCCAGGGACAGAGCTATGTCCAGCAGTGGGGCCAGGGACAGCAGGGCCGTGTCCAGCAGTGGGGCCAGGGACAGCAGGGCCGTGTCCAGCAGTGGGGCCAGGGACAGCAGGGCCGTGTCCAGCAGTGGGGCCAGGGACAGTAGGGCCATGCCTGTGGCTCTGTGTGCCCCTCACCTGGCCACTGGCTCCATGCTGGTGTCACCCCCAGCCCTTCAGCCCTCCCCTCACGCCGTGGGGCAGGGCTGGATGTGCTGCTGCTCCCCCAGCACCTCTCACSTCTCCATCGTCCCCAGGTCCGGCTGGCTCTGTCCCTTGTCCCTGCCTGCACCCAGGTGGGGTTCCTGGTGCTGGGAGAGGGACGGCAGGAGTGCTGTGTGAGCAGTGGCCTGTGCCTTGTGCCTGACCAAAGTGGCAATCTTTGGCTGAAATGGGCCACTCTGAGCTGGAACCACTCTGAGCTGGAACGTGGCAGTGCCACAGCGTGTCCCAGCAGTGTGGGATTTCACCCATCAGCCTCGCTGTCCCCAGCTGTCCTGGTGTGACACCATTTCCTGGCAGATTTCTTTCCTTCCTTCCCCATGAGGCTGGAAGTTCCCGCAGTGCCAGGTTGGTGCCACCACTGTGCTGCTGCTCCCGCTTGCCTTGCTGTGCCCACATCCCTGTGTCCCCTGTCACTGTCCCCACTGTGCCTGTGTTCCCAGACCCTGATCCCTGCTCTGGCCACGTCCCTTCGTGCTCTACAATGCCCAGGATTCCATCAGCCAGGTGAAATCTCACCTTCGCTGCAGGGAAGCAGTGCGCTTGAGCTGTCAGGCTGTTGCCACAAGGTGATTTTTAGAGCATCTTCAGAGGTTTCCTGTAGAGAGGAAAAACATATTGTTCCCATTAGGGATTTCAACCACACGGGTTTCCTTAATCCTCCTTAAGGGATAGCTGGGATTCTGTACCTGGGAAAAACTGAAATGATGCCGTTCTAAGGAGTGATACTTTAATTCTCTCTTTTAAGAGTCCTTTAAAGGATGGCTCCAAGTTCTACCTGGAGTGAGTTCAGTGGCCATGTCAGCACTGGGGCCCCTCGCAGACTGTGGGATGAGAGGTTGTGTGGGACAACYGGCAAATCCTATAAATGGGAATAAACCCACAGCCTTGGGTGACAACTTTGCAATTGCCAGCACACAACTTGCTGTGTTTAATGCTCTCAACGAAAGCACAGCAGTGTGCTCGGGGCGGTACCTGCAAAGGGCAAGAGGGACAGGGACAGCCAAGGGAAGCAGGATGAGGATAACCACAGAGTATTTAGACAAAATGCAGAGAAAAGRCAGGGAGATGGCAGGAATATTGGTGCATGAAAATGACTAGCACTCTGAGAATTTCCCAGCCTACTTCTGACTGGTTTGGGCTTGCTTTTGTAATTAATTTATGGAAAGCACCTAAATTGGGAATAAACACAATCTCACAAATCCCTCCTAATCTCTGCCTGTATTTTTGAAATGATACCCTGAAGGTATAGCTCCTCACAATGATTAAATTGCTTTTCTTTTAAGAATTAAAAGGGACTTTTTCCATGTGGTGCTGTGCTGTTTGAGCAGCCAGGCCTTCACTCTGGCCTGCTCAAGATGCCATATATTGTTGGAAGTGCCCGGATAGGGCGTTTCCCCATCGGACTGCTGGATGCCAAACCTGCCAATATTTTCATTTTGGATTCATGCATTTTAATGCAAAATGTGACCCGGTGTGTTGTCAGCCACCTAACGACTCAGAAGCACTCAGCTATTAGCATAAATTTAGAAAGCTCCTTGAAAATGAAATGTATTTAATTAAGTGGCTGCTTTCCCCTGTTGGTGGAAGCCAAGCTCTCTCATGGGTGGGATGTGCAGAAGGTGCTTGGGGCACAGAGATATATATACAGAAAATATATATATATATATCTATAAAACATATATAAGATCTGTTTTATAAGGTTACTTATTTCCCTCCTGCTGCAATAATTTGCTCCAYCACAACCTTCCCAGGGCTCTGCCTGCTTTTTTTTTTTTTGCTCAGCATTTTCCTCCTGCATAGAGGAGTGATAGGTTTTAACACAGTTTTTCTGGTCTTTGGGGAAAAAGAGAGAGAGTGTGAAAGACTGAATGCGATCTTTGTTTTCAAAATAATGCTGCAGTAATTAAAATGCTTGGAAAGGTGTTCTGTTCCCAGAAGTAATGAATAGTTTTGCCTGTTTTGCCCCATTAATTGCACATTAGTTAAATGCATGTATTTTATAACATGCGTACTCACTCACCTGCTTGCTCTGACAGTTAAATGCATGTTTGAATATGCATTATCCCCTTTAATGCACAGTAATTATTTGATGCATAACTACAGCCTCTTGCTGAGRAGGTGTTTGTGTGGGCTCCAGGGGTGCTCGGTGACAGTCTGGTGGTCATGGGACCGGCCAGTGGCTCTTGTCCTGGGGCACCACGTGCACTGGGGTGACTGCCAGCACCAGCTGGGAAAGGTCCATGGAGGTTGCTCAGGTTTCTGTTCCTCCTGCAGATCCCAGCTAGAGAGTTTCAGCTGTCCTGGTCAGAGCAGGGTCCTGCCAGCCTTCACCAG